GAGCCTCTGGTGGGGGTAACTCTTAGTCTATGTGTTTTGGTTGTTTAATGAAATTACAATGGAATATCCGATGGAAATGGGAGGTGTAAATGTTTGGATATTTGGCAAGGTTTCTATTTAGTCCTCATGTTTATAAATAATGGGTATGTGATTTTATTACATCACAATCGATGTTTGGAGACAAAAGGAAGAAGCTTGAGTATGGGATTGATAAAGTGGTACCAAGGTCTGGTAATAGGTCTGATATGTACTTGGTTGGGAGTATACTATTGCACAGTTAGTTATTACATTATCAAGTAATGATGAGTGTAGTTTTAGTAGTCTCTGCGGGAATTGGGAGGGTATGGTCTTCTATTGGTTTATGGCCTTCTAAGTTTATCATTTCCACTTTGATGTTGTTATATATTCGGATTTTTGGATATGTGGGTTTCTTTACATATAGGTTTTATTTTACACACATATGGAAGTATCATCCTGAATTCTATTCTGAAGGTGCATATGTGGGTTTTGTTTCTGAAGAATGAGGTCTACATTATCCGGTGGTGGTATCTGGGTGTATTGTTCTTGAAGATGGTGGTATAGAATATTGGTTTATGTGGTCCTTTGAAAGCAGGAAAAGTGAAAAGGTGCGCAGGGGAGGTCCTCGTTTGCGTGGCTCATGTCTGTGTTCTCGGTCTAATGTGTTAGCTTTTGGCATTATGGGCCGATTTATATTCTCGTTTCCAAGAGTTATCAGGGTTATCATGGTTATATGCTGGTATTTCTGGTAAGATTCGTAAAGAGTCGTATACCTAAAGGCTCACATTCCCTTATATATTGATGAAATATTAAGTTGGAATTGTCAGGGTCTTGAGAGTAAATGGACAATTAGCTATATAGGGAAAATTTGGTCGAAACGTAAACCAGCTTTTTTTTTTTTTTTTTTAGCTGAGACAAAACAAAAGTTTGATTTTGTTGACTCCTTCCAATTTCATTTTGGTAATAGTCATCTTCATATTGTTGATCAAGTGGGTCGAAGTGGAGGCCTGACTCTTTTTTTATGATTCAACCTCTAAGGTTAATATTATATCTTCAAACAACCGGACAATTGATGTTGAGACTGAACACAAACGGAAGAAAATTTATATATCTTTTGTCTATGGAGAGACAAGTCAAAGCCTGAGGGAGTATGATTGGGAAAAATTAACAAGAATTGGTATTTACCGGGATGATCCATGGTTTATCATCGGTGATCTTAATTAAATCACAGGGAATCACGAAAAAGAAGCTGTGTCCTTCGCCAGGCGGATACCTTTTTGTCTTTCAACAATATGATTGAGAATTGTGGTTTGCTAGAATTTCCGGGTCTTGGTAATACTCTGTCTTGGAGCGGAAGGAGAAAGGGAAAAACTGTAAAATGCCATCTAGATCAGGCTCTCAGAAACAATGATTGGCATAGTTTATTTTTGTGGAGTATCCGGGAATGGTTGGCTCGGATCATAGACCATCATGGCCACAGTTGAGGATAAGATTCTCAAATTTCGCTGAAAATTTAGGTTTGATAAGAGATGGATCGGTGAGGAAGGGTTAATACATTCAATTACGAGAGGGTGGAGCTCGACAAGGGGAATGGGGGGGGGGACGGTGGTATTATAGATAAAATCAACTCTTGCAGGCATGAGATTTCGGTGTGGAGGAAGAATAATCTCCCATATGGAAAACATAAAATAAATAATTTACAAAAGGCTTTGGAGGATATTAAGAATGATTTTACTAAGACTAACGATGAGGTTTTAGAGGTCTCTCGGAAACTAAAGGAGGCATATCAAGATGAGGAACAGTATTGGGAACAAAAGAGCAAAACTATATGGCGTACTTTAGGTGCTAAAAATACAAAATTCTATCATGCCTTGACAAAGCAAAGACGCATTCATAATAGGATCATTGGTTTGTATAATGAAGAGGGAAATTGGGTTAATTTGGAATCTGAGATTGAGGAAGTGGCAGTTAAGTACTTCACAGATTTGTTTCACACCTCATCTCCAGCAGAGTTCGATAGTTTTCTAGAGGAGATCCCTACAAGGGTGACGGAAGCTCAAATTTTAAGCTAATGGCTAGAGCATCAGAAGAAGAGGTGCGAACAACTCTCTTCATGATGCATCCGGAGAAAGCCCCTGGTCCTGATGGTATGACATCAGTTTTTTACCAACAATCGTGGTCAATAATTAAAGGGGATGTGGTAGCAATGGTTAATAAATTTCTCTCGACCGGAAGGTTTGATGCGAGGTTAAATTTAACAAATATTTGTCTTATTCCAAAAACAATAAGGCCCAATAGGATGACTGAGCTTTGGCCCATTAGTTTGTGTAATGTTGGTTATAAAATTATCGCAAAGGTTCTCTGTCAATGGCTAAAAGGGTTGTTACCAAATCTAATCTCGGAAACTCTGTCTGTATTTGTATCAGGAAGATTAATTTCGGATAATATTCTTATTGCCCAGGAGATGTTTGATGCTTTACACACAAATAACTCCTGCAAGGATAAGTTTTTGGCAGTTAAGACCGATATGAGTAAGGCTTAGATAGGGTGGAATGGTCTTTTTTGGAACGTTTACTTTTATAGATGGGTTTCTCTATAGAATGGGTGGATTTGGTGATGGAATGTATTTCCTCAATTAACTATAAGGTACTATTAAATGGTCAACCAAAAGGTCATATTGTCCCAGAGCGAGGTTTGAGACAAGGGGATCCCCTATCTCTGTATTTTTTTATATTATGCACGGGAGCCCTTATTGCTAAAATTCAGATGGAAAAGACGCTAACAGGTTTAAAAATTGCAAGAGGTAGCTCGGCCATTTCCCATTTGTTGTTCGCAGACGATAGTTTGTTTTTTTGTAAGGCTACGGTGGAGGAATGTGGGGTCCTTTTAAAACTTCTAAAAGATTACGAGCTTGCTTCTGGTCAACAAATTAATTTTTCAAAATTATCAGTTGAATTTGGTCAAAAAGTGCCAGACAGTACCAGGTTGGATATTCACAATTTATTATAGGCATTACACAATTGGGTGGGATGGGAAACTATCTTGGTATTCCACAGAGTTTAGGTGGGTCAAAAATCAGATTTTCGGATTTTTAAACGAAAGAATAAATAATACAGTGAACAACTGGACAGTTCGGTTTCTTACACGAGGGGGTAAGGAAGTATTGATAAAATCAGTAGCTTTATCGAAGCCAACACATGTAATGTCATGTTTCAGACTTCCCAAAGGGATAACCAAGAAAATTACGAAAAATTTGGCGTATTTTTGGTGGGGTGATCATGGAAATAAGAAAGGTATTCATTGGCTCTCATGGGACAAAGTATGTACTCATAAGGAAGAGGGTGGGCTGAATTTTTGAGATGTACAAGATTTTAATACAATTTTACAGAGAAAACAATTTTGGCGTTTAATAGATAAACCAAACTGTTTGTTCTCAAAGGTTTTTAAAGGTAGATATTTTAGGAATTCCCATCCTCTTGAGGAGCATAGATCCTACTCATTCTCCTATGGATGGAGAAGCATCTGTTCAGCTAGATCTCTTGTTAAAAAAGGACTAATCAAAAGAGTGAGAAATGGACAATCCATATCTGTATGGACTGATCCATGGATCCCCACTCCTCGCCGAGGTCAGCTATACCAAAAAATCAAGCACAATTTCTAGATCACTCATTAATGGTCGAACACTTTATTAATCCGATCGATCAGTCATGTAATGTGGAGATGCTCAATACATATTTCCATCCAGATGATGTGAAAATTATTTGAGGTTTGGCGGTTAGCCGGACGCAGAGACCAGATACATATGGGTGGATGTTTACAGAATCGGGTAAATATTTGGTTAAATCGGGATTTAGACTAGAGTCTTTATTTCCAGATAAAGGTACAAAAATGCCCACTTTTGGACCAACTAATAAACTCCTGCTGGCTTTCTTTTGGAAGTTAAAATGTTCACCGAAACTGAGACATTTTATGTGGTAGATACTATCCGGAACGCTACTGGTAGCGAAGAATCTTGGGACACGTGGGCTTGAATGTGATTTAAGGTGAAGTATTTATGGGGCAGACGAATAGTCTACTAATCATGTACTGTTTGAATATCCACCAGCACTACAAACTTGGGCCCTATCTAGAATTCCTTCTCCTCCGGGAATTTTTCCGGCCTCTTCGGTCTTTACCAGTCTAGACTATCTTTTTTGGAAGCTTTCAAAGGATGAGGATTTTAGTTATTTCCCGTGGATATTATGGTATATTTGGAAAAATAGAAATGATAAGATTTATCAGAATAAGAATTGAAATGCTCAGGAAATTCTTCGTGTAGCAGAAATTGAAGGGGTTTTATGGGCTGAAGCACAAGTACTGGTGTCCAATCAATGTGGGACCAATCAAAATGGGACCAATCAAGGGTTTATAGATGGGCTATCCATGGAAAATACAAGAGTTTGTTATGTAGATGGTGCATGGAGACGTGAGGATAGATATACAAGTCAAGGATGGTATTGCTGAAAGGAAGAAGAGGCTGAGGTAATGATGGGGGCGATGAATCTGCGATATAGTCTTTCACCTTTGCATGTTGAGTGTGAAGCTCTGATCTGGGAAATGGAATATATGAAGACCCTCCAGTTCTCTGGTGTAGTATTCGCGACTGATTGTTCTCAATTGGTAAAGATTGTGTCTGTCATCCAAAAAATGGCCAGCATTTTCTACACATATGGCAGAATTTCGACTCAGTGAGTCTTTCTTCCCTACTTTCCGGATCAGACATATTCTATGAGCACAAAATACCATGGTGAATAAGCTTGCACGCGGTGCAAGAATTTCGTCATTAGCTATGTTTTATATCTGTTCCACCCTTCAGATTTTGTTTTCCAAACCGGCAGGTCCAATTACTTAGCTTAGATGTTATTGTCAAAAAAAAAAATTAAGCAAAGAAAACAAGTACTGAAATAAAATTATTAAATTAGACAAAGAAAATAAATACAAAATTAAAAATAAGCAACATAACATAAAATTAATATTAAAATCATAGATAATTGTGATTTAATATTCTGGTAAATTGCCTCCAGATCCACCAATATTGTTAAAATATAGTTCAAATGAGGTAGATGAAGGAGTAGCTTCTTGTTCATGTTGTTGACCACGTCTTTTTTGTAAAATCCGTTTTCGTTCTTCTTGTAAATATGCACGACTTCTGGATCTTCAACTGAATTGAAATCACAAAATAAATATTTGTTTTCTTCTTTCAGCTCATTCAAAGCATAATTCTTCTTTTCAATCTCTAAATGATATTCTCGTTGTGCACTTGCCTTCTTTAGTTCCTCCAAAAATTGCATATTTCCTTCTTTTAAGATGTTGATAACCGATGTTGTTTGATCACCAAGTTTTCGTTTCATTTTAGACTTCTTTACCCCGATTGGGCGTGGAGAGGGAGATCCGATGATTTTCCCCTCGCCATCACTTAAATTTAAAGAGAATGAAAGCAAACCTGGAGATGTCTGCGTGGGAGAATCAAGGAAAAGATTTCCTGACTCTGAACATGTATTCTCAGGGATTGATATTGATATGCGTTTAGCATGGGCGACACCATCTTTAAAATTTTCAAAGTCTTTAATAATACTCCAAACATGGTCAAATTTCCAACCACTTTTGTACCTTGAATTTTCACTTAACATTCATTTAGCTTGATTAAATTTCACAACATTAAAAAAAAATTAATAATTACCCAAAAAAATACAAATAATTTCATACAAAATGTAATAAAATAAAAATTGTATATCATTACTCACAATATTGTCATTTTAAGCACCGCTTAGACGTCGATATTCACATTGTTTGATGCATGCATATAATGTTTTTGTTGCTTTCTCAATAGTTTGAATTCGAACATTCACTCCAACTTACACTTTTTCTACATTCATAAGCTTCCATCACACGAGTCCAAAAACGGTCAGATGTTTGACAGAAGTATGATTTGTCATTGGTTCTTTTCTCTTTTAACTAAATGCTAAAGCTAAAGCCATAAATATTCTTTTCAAAATACTTGTGCTTTTAAACAACTACTGACACTAAAGAGATGTCAGGAAATGGTTTCAACAGAAGATAAATGAGAATTGAAACTGAAGATTATTACCCAATGTAGAATGTACTCAGGTGCAACAATGGCGTGCCTTTATTATGGACCTGAAATTCACTCTAATAAAACTATGGAACATAATAACTTCAGGAAAATGGCCAATTCATACATCAACAGGGGATCGCGGTCCCGATCAGTACATAAACTCACACCCTATACTAAAACATACATCAATTCAAATTATATTTAAATTTCATACATCAACCAAACACTTTTTCGATAAATTCATACATTGACCGTGTGTTCGTTAGTCAATTGTTAACGGATTCTTACGTGGACTTAAAGGATGATGACGTGGATTTACAAGATTAATACGTGGAAACCCAAAATGACGTCGCTTTATTAAAAAAAAAATCATTTCAATTAGTCTTTGAGGGGGATTTGAACATGGGTTCTCCACAATAACTCTCCCATACTCGACCACTTTGCCATATATACATCATTGATTTAATGCATCATATATACATATTTAGCATTCATTGGTTCTGGGTTTCCCACAAAAATACATTGTCATTCGGTGTAGAAGGGGGAATCGAACCCGTTTTCCTAAAATTTAACATTTGAACAATTCTTTTATTTTTTTAAAAACATTTGATCAATTCGTACTAAACCCAATATATGTATATATGATGTATTTAACCAATAAATCATACATGGTAAAATGGTCAAGTGGGGGATGCAGTGTTGTGGGTAACCTGGGTTCAATACCCTTTCTTCCCCAAATTGCAACTAATTTTTGTGGCATTAAACAAATGATGCCTATATGGCAGAGTGGTCGAGTAGGGGATGAGTTAGCAAAAAGAAACAAAGACCAGAGATTATACTTTTTCCATATAGATCAGACCTGACCAGATGAAAGTATTCCTCAGAAAATCAACTCATGTGACCATCACTTGATCTACCTTAAATAGGCGGCTGACAAAAATATATATAAATATCATATTACAGTATATTTATATTGAAGCATGATGTTATACAGACAAATTTATACTACTAACTTACTCTAAGTTGACTAATTCTTTCCATACGGATTTGTTTCTTTCAGATCCATATTCACATAAATTATAAGCTTAAATTCAAACTCAAATGATAAAGAAAATATTTTTTTTTTTGCTTAAACGATAAAGAAAAACATGATAGGACTAAAAATGTTTATCTGCATTAACAAGCGACTGTAGGTGTAGGTATATGTGTAGGTGTAGAAGCAGACGCTGCAGCAGCAGCAGTTACAGCTACCGAGGCTCTAGTAACAGCTGAAATTGTAGCTCCAACATGATCTCTTCTGTGATTCTTTTTGTTATGTGAAGATCTTTTGTGACCGATGCAAACAAACACGGTCATGGCTATTAAAGAGAACGTGGCTGCAACCACTAACAACCCCCAAATATTAGTTGCAATTTGGGTTCAATACCCTTTCTACCCCAAATTGCAACTAATTTTTGTGGCATTAAACAAATGATGCCTATATGGAAGAGTGGTCGAGTAGGGGATGAGTTAGCAAAAGAAACAAAGACCAAAGATTATACTTTTTCGGATTTTTCCATATAGATCAGACTTGACCAGGTGAAAGTATTCCTCAGAAAATCAACTCATGTGACCACCACTTGATCTACCTTAAATAGGCGGCTGACAAAAATATATATAAATATAATATTACAGTATATTTATATTGAAGCATGATGTTATACAGACAAATTTATACTACTAACTTACTCTAAGTTGACTAATTCTTTCCATACGGATTTGTTTCTTTCAAATCCATATTCACATAAATTATAAGCTTAAATTCAAACTCAAATGATAAAGAAAATATTTTTTTTTTGCTTAAATGATAAAGAAAAACATGATAGGACTAAATATGTTTATCTGCATTAACAAGAGACTGTAGGTGTAGGTATATGTGTAGGTGTAGAAGCAGACGCTGCAGCAGCAGCAGTTACAGCTACCGAGGCTCCAGTAACAGCTGCAATTGTAGCTCCAACATGATCTCTTCTGTGATTCTTTTTGTTATTTGGAGATCTTTTGTGACCGATGCAAACAAACACGGTCATGGCTATTAAAGAGAACGTGGCTGCAACCACTAACAACCCCCAAACTAAACCTGAGTTACCGATTCCACCGTTGCTCAAATAACTTTTTGCCATAACTTCTTGTGTATTTTGCCTAAGTTTGAGATTTTAGATTTGGTTTTGAGATAGAATTTATATGCTTTGGGATTTAAGGAGCAGAGTGAATAGCAATACTGATGTTCGTTTCGTTGAGCAGCTATCTGCAGCTGCGTCTGCGGCAATGTTAGACACTGCGTTCTCGCATCAATAAAAATTTAAAATCAGCGGCTGCGACTTAAATTTTGCATCTATAACCTAATTTACTTTTTTGTCCTTAGAATATTTCAATATTTACAAAATAACCTAACCTAATTTGACGCAGACGCAGCTCCATCTTCTCCAGCTCGAGCTATCTCATCTCCATCTCTTAGGCAGACCTCGAGATCCCTCATCTCTGGCTTGAGCTCTCTCATCTCCGGCTCTAGCTCTCTCATCTCCGGCTCGAGCTCTATCTTCTCCGACTTGAGCTCTCTTCTCTGACGCAGACCACAAGCCCTCTCATCTCTGGCCGAGCTCTCTCTTCTCCGACACAGACTACGAGCTCTCTCATCTCCGACTCAAACCTCCAGCTCTCATCTTTGACGTTGATCACGAGTTCTCTCATCTCCTCTGATTTGGGTTTCAAGCATTGTTATGAGTCAGGTTGTGGAAAGTGCAGATATTGTATCCTCAAATCTCTAGAAACAAAGAATTATAAGAACAACTTTTCTTATTAGCTTTATAAACTACTCAAAACTAAAGCTCTCAATGTTTCTCTTAAATCTCTTATGGAACACCTCTCATAAGGTCTATATTTATAGTGAAAGATAATTCCCTTAAACATGTGGGATATGGAAAACACAAACTAATCTAATAGAAAACTTCCTCTTCCTATTTCTAGATTTCCTTATTGTGTTTATCTTTAACATATTAATCCAATAATATGTTAAGTTTCCACAAGCTTGGAATTACCCAACAATCACCCCCTTAATTCCAACTTGAATTAGGGAAATCAATTTCTTGAGCTCCAATTAAGCTCCTCATTTGCCTGAACTTAATCCTTGCTAATGGCTTGGTTAGGATGTCGGCCTTCTGCACAACACTCGGCACATGCTCCACTTTGATTTGCCCATTCTCCACACACTCTCGAATGAAGTGATACTTCTTGAGTACATGCTTACTCCTTCCATGGAAAACTGGATTCTTCGTTAGAGCAATGGCTGATTTGTTGTAGATCCTAAGCGTGACCTTCTTGCCTTCTTCACTTAGTATCTCACTCAACAAGTCCTTGATCCATATAGCTTGCTTCGCTGCTTCTGTTGCTGCCATGAACTCTGCTTCGCATGATGACAATGCAACCGTCTGCTGCTTCTGCGACGTCCAAGTGATCAATGATGAACAGTAGTAGAATGCATGTCCTGACGTGCTCCTCCCGTCATCGAGATCAATATTGTGACTGCTGTCACTATAACCAACGACACTCCTTGACCCATCTCTCTTGAAGAACAGACTTAAGTTTGTTGTTCCTTTGACATACCGCAGTATGTGCTTGATGGCTTGTCCATGAGAGTCTCTCGGATTGTGCATGTATCTGCTTAGAACACCCACTGCGTAGCACAAGTCGGGTCGTGTGTGAAGCAGGTACCTCAAACATCCTATGGTTCTTCTGAACTCTGTAGCATCTATCTCTGGCTCATCTTCAGCTTTCGAGATTTTCAAGTTCGCCTCCATTGGAACTTGAGTTGCGTTACACGTCTCCATCTTTGTGTCACACATGATTCCTTGAGCATACCTTTCTTGCTTTATTCTGATTCCGTCTGCTCCTTGAATCACCTCAATGCCAAGGTAATACGTTAGCTTACCTAGATCTGACATCTCGAACTTCTTTGACATCTCCTCCTTGAAACGCTTAATCACCTTAAGAGAAGTTCCAGTCACAAATAGATCATCAACGTAGATGGCTATGATCAAGACATCACCTCCTTCAGTCTTGCGGTACACTGATGGTTCCTTCGTGCACTTCTCAAATCTCATCTCCTTTAGAACCTGATCGAGTTAAATATTCCAAGCTCTTGGTGCTTGGCGTAACCCATACAACGCCTTGTGTAACACATAAACTCGATCCTCTTGTCCTTTCTTTTCGAAACCTTCGGGTTGAGTTACATACACTAACTCCTTTAGATCTCCATTCAAGAAAGCGGTCTTCACATCCATGTGATGTATCTCCCAACCGTTTGTTGCTGCGAGAGCTATCAAGAGCCGGATAGTTTCGAGACGTGCCACTGGTGCAAACACTTCATCGAAATCTATTCCTTGAACTTGAACATAGCCTTTACCCTTTAGCTACAAGCCTCGCCTTATACTTGTTCACCGTACCATCCGCCTTTCTATTTATCTTGTAGATCCACTTCAACCCTATCGGTTTCACTCCAGCCGGTCTATCCACAAGCTCCCATGTCTTGTTTCTTGTGATAGACTCCAACTCGGCCACCATTGCTTCAACCCATTCTCGTACATGTTCAGCTTCAAGATAGTTCTCTGGCTCTCCGTCTACTGTGAGCAACAACAGTGCACTTTCTTGATCAGCAAGTAACACATAATCATCGAGATATCTTGGTTTTGTTATGGTGCGGCCGTGTCTAGTCACCAACGGTTGAACTCCACCGTCTTGATTCTCATTGTGATCCGCCTCTTCTTCTTCTTCTTCCTCATCTTGGTTTATAGCTTCATGTTCATGATCACCACCTTGATCATTACCTTCTTCTATATCACCCTCATGTGGAAGCTTAAGCATACTCGGCTCACAATCCGCTTGAGTTGTTGTAGACATCCAATCCCAAGCTTTCTTCTCATCAAAGATCACATCTCTACTCACCATCACCTTCCCTGTGACTGGATCATAGAGCCTATAAGCTTTGGAACCCGGCTCAGTTCCAAGACTGATCACACACTTTGATCTCTCATCTAGCTTCTTCTGATGAGTCACACATATCTTCGCGTGTGCTACACAACCGAATATCCTCAAGTGCTCGATATTAGGTTTCTTTGACATAAGACATTCGTATGGCGTCTGATCCTTCAAGGCTTTTGTAGGAACTCTGTTGATGAGGTAAGTTGCATGACGTACAGCTTCACCCCATAAGTAGTTCGACATCTTCATTGCCTTCAGCATACTTCTTGTCATTCCCATCAAAGTTCGATTTCTCCTCTCCACAACACGTTTTGTTGAGGTGTGTAAGGCGCGGTAAGGTGCATTTGAACTCCATTCTCTTCACAGAATAGATTGAACTCAGCTGAGGTAAACTCTCCTCCTCTATCGGTGCGAAAGGTTTTGATGGTTGACCCGGTTTGCTTCTCTACACTCTCCTTAAACCTTTTGAATCGATCGAATGCCTCACTCTTCTCCTTCATAAGTATAACCCACATATACCTGGAGAAATCATCAATCAAGACAAAGACATATTTGTTATCTGCTGGCGTTGGTGGTGTGATCGGTCCACACAAATCTCCATGCAGTAACTCTAATGACTTTGTTGCACGAAACATGGCCTTGGTTGGGAATGACTGTCTAATCTGCTTCCCTGCTAGACATGCGTCACACACACTCTCCTCGTGTGTTACACACGGCATTCTTACAACCATCTTCTTTCTTACCATGTTGTTCATCACTCCATAACTTATATGTCCTAGACGAGCATGCCACCTCCACGTAACATCTTCATCTCTGACATGTAAACACTCCGGATAGCTTATCTCCATCGGGGTCTTGTAGAGACGGTTTGGAGATCTTGTCACACGTACAAGCAACCTTCCACGCGAATCTGTGAGCGTTAAGTAGACATCTTTCATGTTAACCTCACATCCGTTTTCTGTTGCTTGACCAAGACTCAATATATTGTGCTTCAGGTCGGGTATGTAGTAGATGTCTTTGAGTGCCTTCTTCTCTCCAGTCCTGCACACAAAGGTAATCACACCCTTTCCTTCGATATCAACCAACGATCCATCACCAAACTTCACCTTCCCTTTGGTGTTTTGATTCAAACTCGAAAAGAACTCCTTGTTTCCCGTCATGTGATTACTCGCTCCATTATCCAAATACCAAAAACTTGCATTGCCTTTGTTGATATCGAGATTCTTCGGAATCACCTTGTATTCATTCAAGAACACCACCTCGTGTACATAGAGTGCATCAGCCTCTTGTGTCTCGTTTAGGTTGGTTTCTTGATTCTTCACTGACTTCTCGGGACAGGAGGTTGCATAGTGACCCGGCTTGTCACATCTCCAACATATCACCTTTGAACGATCCTTCTTCGAGTTTTTGTCTTCGGTGTGTGACACATGATTTTGGTTGTGTAACACACCTCGACCTCTGCCTCTACCATTCCGTCCTCTACCTCTACCACAAAAATTCTCATAGCTTTTATGAGATTGCTGGTCACTATTCGAAAACATGAGCTTCCCTTGGTCTACTTTCTGAGCTTCTCCCCCTACACGATCCTCGTACGCCTTGATCCTTCCAACGATGTCCTCATACGCCGTTGTGTTGAGGTCTAGGACTTGCTCAAACGTCGCTACGATATGGATGTATTGACTTGGAAGTCCCGTCAGAAACTTCTTAACCATCTTGGAATCCTCTATGTTCTGACCTAGCGAGGCTGGTTTGGATGATATGTCCGATATCTTCCCCGCGAAGTCATCGACCTTATCATTATCATCCATCTTCAACCTATCAAACTCCGCCATTAACGTCTGTAGTCTCGCTTCCTTTACACGATCAACTCCAAGGTGTCGTGACTTGATAGCGTTCCAGATCTTTTGCTGCGGTTTGATCTCCCACCTGGAGAATCAAAGCTTCAGGGATGGATTGAAACAAAAGAGTAATCGCCACATCGTTCTTCTTTCGGTCATCCACACCAGGTTCAGTCACGTCCCATACTTCATGAACACGAAGTAAAACCTTCATCCTCATCGACCAAACGGTATAGTATGATGATGATAACATAGGACATTGGATGGATGTAGTTCCAAGGTCCTTCGTGCGTGGAGCCCTAGTCACG